CACGCAGAAAGCAAACGTAAGGGACTGCATCTGATGGGCCCTGAGGGTGAGCCCTGAGAAAGACCAGGGCTTAGTACCCAGCAGAGGTTGAGTGAATGTTTGTTGAATGAATAAATGAAAAGAGGCATGAACAGCTGATAAGGTGGATGGCGTGCTCCAAAGTCAAGTCCACTTTTTCTTAATGCATTCGCCTCGTCTGCCCGTCTGCATTCTCGTGCCAGAGTCCTGCATGTGTGCTTCCAGTAAGAGGCTTTCCTTCCACAGTTGCTTTCTATGGAGCAGCCCCCAGCCTTTCTGCTCGGAAACAGTCATTCTGCCTGTTCTGAACTGGAGCTTCACCTGTTCACTCTGGGCCCTCAAGGGTCAGGCTGTGAGCCAATGACGATAATAATGTGAAGGTATATGGAAATAGAGAGAGAGAGAGAGAGAGAGAGGCATTAAGTGAGACCCGTGGTCTCACCCAAATAATGATCACTTTTTCCCAAACATAAATATTATTTATTATGATTTTAAACTTATTTTCTATTTTCACTAAAGTAATATAGACATATAGTCAAAAGATACTAAAGGCTTATCATAGACAGTAACCCCTTCTCACTTCCTCCTCATTTGTGAACACAGTGAAGTCATAATTTTTGGTTAATTGTTGATATTTACATTATCAATTTTGGATTTTTATACCTTAATGGATTTTATGTACTAAGAATAGTGGTCACTAAAACAGTTACAAATTTACAAAAAAGAAGAGTATTTCCTGCGGAACCAGCAGAGTTTCCTGAAGCAGCAGCTAACATTTATTGAGCATTTACCATGGACTAGGCACCGCTTTCCTGTTACAATTCATGTGACTGGGGGTGAGGACAAGTACTGTAAATATTCCCATTTTACAGATGAAAAAACCAAGACACAGAAAGGATAAGTAACTTGCCCAAGCCCATAATGCAAGGTAATCTAGCGCCAGAGGCTAAATTTTTAGCCACTATGAGTGCTCCTCTGGTGACAAATTTTACCAAGTAAGGAAATAAAGATCCTAGGCCAGAATTTGAAGTTGTACCAGGATTTTGGGATGCAAACTTAGTTAGCTTGGGAGGCAGAATGTTCAACAGGAGAAGCCCAAGAGGAATAAGTTTATTCTATAAAGTAGAATAGTTTGTTGTTTTAATTTGTCTGTTTATTCTTGTACCTCCTTTCCCAAGCCCTCATTTGTTCCTGGGCGTAGAATACTAATTAGTCTACCAGGGAGTCTTCATGCAGATTCTGGCTAAAGAGGCAACCAGGGCATTCTGTGAAGACACTCAGGTGTTGAACCACTTTAATATGAGGACGTTAGCACAGTTTGAAATAGGAACAGTCCTGGAGAAAATGGGCTGTGTTATTATGGACGTATCACTGGGGGAGAAGGCACGGAAAGAGGTGCAAATTCCTTCTTACCTTGGAGAGCGGCGGCTATAGGGTTCTTCTGCTTTCTTCCTTCTTCCCCATCTAATATGTACACTTAGGAAAATAGTTAACTTTTTTTTTTTTATAATCCTGGTGTTCCAGATTCACCCAGAACTTATCTCCATCTGAGTGACTGCTTTTAAAGTCACTTCTGCTGATTATAAAAGTGACCTAGTAGCAGATCTATCTGCAGAGCCTAGGAGACCGAGGATAGGGCCAGGAAGCTGGTCATAATGGAAGAATGGACAGGGTCCAGAAAATGGGGATGATTCCGTGCTCACCTAAAGCCAGTCATGCCAATGGACCCCTTCTAGATCTAAAAATGTTAATATAATATCCATATGTGCACACATATAGGATATACTTTACGTCAAAAGTGAGGTACAGAGATTTGGTGAGAAACAAATTGTTTTCAGCATGATGGAGCCGCCACAAAAAACAATCAGGCCCCTTCTGATGTAATCTGAGGAATGAAATGCTGGAAATAACCCCAAGGCATTACTTTTACCCAGATCTATTGTGGTTTGCACAGCTTGCAACTGTTTACGGAGAGAGGACAGGAGCGGTAGGAATGGGATTACCAGCCAACAGTTTCTGACGTGCATTTGATTAAGCCACCTGACAAGACCAACAGGAAGAAAGGAAAAATTGTGAACAGGTGTGAGAGAGCCGGAGGAAGAGGGTCCTGCTTCCCCGTCCTCTTAATCACATCGGCACAACATTCTGCTGCCAGGACCTTCGGGCTGGGGACAGTGGCCGTGCTAATTGCCTCCAGCGTGGGATCTGCTTAACGGGCCCTGCAGCCCCGCGTTGACCCCCCCTGTGCCTTACACAGAAGGGAAACTGGATCTCTGTAGCAGTGGTTTTACTGTGATACCCCGAAATGCTCATTCATCTGCTCAGGGGCCCGTTGGCAAGCGCTGGTCCTGACGGCTGTGTCGCCATGGAAATAAGTGACACATTTGTGATGAGTTGTCTATTTCCAGATGGGCCTCTTCATTCCTTTGAGAAATTTGACAGAACCTTTTTACGTATTTGCTTTGTACAAATGGTGGCTTATCCAAGGGTCTTGCTGGCCTTTTTGTTTTCTACCAGGATGACTTTTGTGCAGTGTGCTGTGTAAGTAATAATGATAGGTCCGGCTTTGTAGACGTGGCTGTTTGTTTTTCCTTTCTTTGTATCCAATCATAGCGTGCTCCTCTAACACAGCGTTGGCTAGCCAGCCGTGATTGTTAATGACACGCTCAGACCTCTCCTCTTTCTCAATTGCGGATGGTTCTGTCTCCATGTTAAAAGAAAGTCTGTAGTTGGGATAATGCTGCTTTGAAAGTCAGGCAGCCAGCAGCTTTTCCATTTCATTGAAGAAAAATATTAGAAAAATATTAATAGGGTGTCTGCTTCTTTCCATTCAGCTGTGTTCCCTGCAGGGATGAGAAGACTGAAGACTGAGTATTGCTAGGCTGCGCAGCCCTGGGCTGTGGCTCGGAGGAGGGGAGAGGAGGGGGAAGGCGAGGGCGGCTCCTCTCTGGAAGATGATACCTTTTGCTGTGCAGCCAGCCAAGGGGTCATATGGAAGGTTCTCTCAGAAGGTTGCTTAGGTCCTAAAATGTTGTGCTTTTCGCAGTCTCGCATGTGAGTGTTTGGGTCCTATAGACAAAATCATATGAGCCACTGGAATGGTGTGAAAAGATATATTATGTTTGTGTGTGTGTACAAGTTATATTTAAATAACTATAGACTCACCATAAGTGACAAGGTCACAATTTAGATCAGTTAAATGTTAGTAATTATCCCAGCAAACTGTGGTTTATAAATATTAATGTCCCAAACTGAAGTTAAGGGGGTCCATCTTTAAGTATTATTTTTTCTTCATATTTATCTGTGTAATTAAATTGGAGGCAAAATTTGTAAGTCTTCTTTTTTTTATTAACAACTGCTTTTCCAAATTCTGAGTAAATAATCCTTAATTAAACGTGCCGGTTTTGTAAGTTACTTTCATTTTTTTCTCTTCTGAATACCAAATTGGAATGTGAATTTCTTGTGTATTGTAGTTGTGGATCAGAATTCATTGATTCACTTGTCAGTGCATCTAGGACTTGGTATTCCTAACGGGCTCATTACTGAAACCTCACACCAGTCTTTCTAATTTCTTTGGAAAGAAGCAGAAGCAATAACTACCTTGAGTTGTCAGGTGGAAAAAAACAATTGGCTTAGCTGTGAACATGGAGTCTTTATTCAGATATATGCAAATGTATGACTTTCATAGGATGATAATTTGGAGAAACATTTGAACAGCATAATTACTTGGAGAAATGTTACTATAACAAATGTCGTTGGGCGCAGTGTGTTAAGGGATAGTATGAAGAAGCCTGACACTGAAGAAAATGGTATACATAACAAGGCAAGAAATTATATAAGTATATAGTCATTACATCAAATTAATCATAGGCAATAAGAGAATATATTGCAACTGCCCAAACTGATAGACAGTCTCTCTTAGTGATGGACATCTTTCAGGTAACCTATCATAGACAGTATTTCCTGCCATTTGCTAGGCAGTCACCCATTTGTTGGTCCCTCAAATTTTCTAATTCCATACTTTCTGTGATTTTTTTCCCCCGACAAATCAGACTAAAGAGGACTAAGTCATACTTATTTTTGACTTAGTGTGCCCAAGTCATATCCTGTTGACAGGAATCTGATGAAAATATCATCATCGTCATCACCAAACCTCTACCCCGGAAGGGAGCTTTAGCTGCAACTTCTCCTGAGTTGGTCCCATGATGTTTATCAATATTGGGATTTGTTGTACACCCTCCCTGGCTGTCGTGAAGTCTGGGTCTCACCAGGGCCCACCACGCTCGCCAGCCTTGAATGATATCCCCCCAGCCCCCGACCATCACATCCATTGGATATCATGGCTCTTCATATATGTGACTCTACAGACAGATTAAATGGAAATGTGTGTGTGTGTAGAGCATATAAAATAATTGCAGACTGCCCCACTTAATATGGCGATTACAAATAGGAAACATTTATTTCCCCTTCTTTATGTCTATTTGTCGATCAATTAAACTCTTTAGTCTTAAACAGTACTTCATTTTTTTTCTGCCAGAGAGAAATTAATGTACAAATGAACTGCTGAAAATTGCTGCCTCTGGTATTCAAACTCATATTCTCATAAGGAAAATACTGGCTCATAAGAAGAAACATCTTCCTTACGGCCATGATGCGATATGGCCCAGGGTGTGCAGATTCCAAATCATTTTGGACATGGAATATCCTGTTTCCTCTGCCACTGTTTACTCTCTGTGAAAGGACCAGGCAAGGACACTGTCATTAGCTACCAGCTTGGTGCTGAGTTTTCCCCAGTAGACGGAGGAGAGCGCCTCATAAGAAGAGGCTGGTTAAGCTTGGTCCGGACTTTTTCACTGAACCCCATAGAAAGGGCGCAGGGGCAAGGCTCCAACAAATTTACGCTATTGGAATTTTCTCATTGACACTTTCCTACCCTTGTGAAAAAAATTATAAAATTTCTTTTCTTCTTTTTTGGTATGCAGATGAGTATAGGATCAAACCGGTGGAAGAGGTCAAATACATGAAAAATGGGGCAGAAGAAGAGCAGAAAATAGCAGCCAGGAACCAAGAAAACTTGGTAAGAATGGAATTTCTCACATAAAAAATGCATTTTTGTGACACCATTGTCATAAAATCCACACTGCACATTTAAATGGCAACTTACATACTGGGCACAAGATTTCTTGAAAATGCTGTCGCTATTTATAGCTTGCCTGGAAGCCACACCGTTTACTCCTGTATCCTGTTTGTTCCTGAATAAGCCTTTCTTTAATCTTGATAGAGAATGCTCCAGGGGAAACAATAGCAAAATTATTAGTGTTTTAACATGGTTAAATTTAAAGGAAAAAAAGCATGAAGCGGGGTTGAGATTTATGGGGAGAGGACCGTTCTGTTCCGTTCCTTTTCTCCACCTCCTCTAACACTTTTCCAGGTCAGGGTGAATGGCGAAGTTTCAGTATTCTGAACATGTAGTGTGTGGGGGAAGTTGCCTTTCAAAGGAAAATAATGTACTTTTAAGGTAGGTCTCTATCAAAATAGTATTTCACATTTGTGATGTTAAACGTACTGTGGGTTTTGACTTAATGTGAGAATTGTAATGACCTGAAACCAGAGTAAGAACCTTTTTCTTTAATATGAATCAATATACATGTTTCAACTTAATAGTCCATCTCTGTAAAAACATTTAGTGAATTGTCATATTGGCTGATTTCTTACAGGGGGTTATAAATTGTTAAGAATATGCATTTATTCGGTTGTGATGGAGCAAAATGGCTTTTATATTTTATTTTGGGATTAGTTGCTGTTTTTTTCTTGCTTGAATGAATGTATTTTTAAGAAGCTCGCAATGTCATAAAATATTTTCACTTGACTTAAACCCCTTTTTCTGTTACATGCTTTGTTTTTATGATTTCTGCTATAGCAGAGGGAGCTGGCAGAATATTAACAGCGCTCATGAGATTTAAGGTTGTCATTTTCCATGATACGCTAATGAACATAGTGGGCTAATTCTTTTTTCCCTATTTTTTTCCTGAACATCTGATATACAACTCAGAACACTGAAATATCAACAGCTGAGCATTGTAGATCGCTTTCAAGGAGTGAAAATACTTTATAATAAAATTTTACTTCAAAAATGGGATTTGAATTTTAAGGTATCGCTGAAGTCACAGAGATTCATTATGACCTGGGGTATATGTTAACATTAACGCTTAAGTCCAGAAAAAAAGGTAGCTCTGACTAAATAGTGGAAGTTAATCTTATGAGACTTTTTTACGTGACCTTTTTTTACACTGAATAAACAGAAGACCTGAGTAGTTGAAGCATCGGTAGTCATTTTTCTCCTTTATTTTACTGAAAATCAGAGTTTCTCCTTGCTTGATATAATTGTGGCTTGCTTTATGGACCTCATCTTTAACAATATGTCCATCGGACACCAGTGACCGGTCTGGCAGTGGCCCTTTCTTGGATCTAACGACGAGTGGCCATCTTTGCTTCTTGTGCTTGTACTCTGAAACCTAAGGGAAGAAGTGACCTCTGTTTTACAGCTTGCAAGTTTGTATACAACGTGCTCCCAATCACATTTAGGCCAATTCAACCCTTTTCCTCTTCTCTTAGTTTCATACTCTATCACGTCCTTGGCGCTAGGGTATCCTTTCCCAACGCTGCGGGCAGAATCTGTCCTCGGGCTTTTCTCTGCAGACCGGAGATTCAAAGAGAGAGGTTTCTGGTCTGTCTTTACTGTGGATCATCTGTGACAACCCCACACCCTTTACCCTGCCCGCCAACCAGGGTCTGGACCTCCAGCAGGAGTCTTCAAGCGTGTGAAGACCTCCATGGAGGATGGGGAGTAAATGGGTATCACGGACTCTGAGACCCGAGGCTACTTTCCAAAAGCAATGATTTTCCCCCGTCTGGGAGTCCTTCGGCACCTGCTCCGTTCTTTGGGATGCACGGTCAGGCATCGACCACACGTGTTGCTGGAGAAAATGTATGGCCTCCTAAATTTGAAGCTTACATTGGAAGGTGGATGAAATAGATGTAAATTCTTGATTTTAAATCCATTAACAGAATCTGAGAATCAAGAATTTTTTATGTTTAAAGGACACGTATTTAAATAGTTTCACAGTTCCAGAGCGAGATTTTTCAAAATGTACCTAACAGGGGCGGTAACCTAAAGTACTCATTTAGAAATCTCCCACCAGTTAACTAAAGGAAAAAGGAAGACTGACCCTCACATCCTTTAAGCTTTCCTTTTGTTTGATATGATAATGCCTAACTCATTAAGTGCTTATCATGCACGCGGCATTGCACTCACAGTCTTACTGTGCACAGCTCCTGGAATCCTCCCAACAGCGCCACCGTGAGGCTGTGTCTTCCCCCAGCTGATGTGGGGGGAGGTTTAGAGCAGTAACTTGATCCCACAATGAGCACGTGGCAGAGTGGGGATTTGAACCCTCCAGAGCCCACTGTCATGGCATCCTGCCTTGGTTACGTTTGCCGAGCCCCTTAATTTCAACAGCTTGATGACCTGTTTCGTATGAGTACTCAAAGGCACTGTCCTCAAGGAGCTTACAGAAGAGCTGAGAGAGCAGTTCAACAGATATTTTATTGATTGCCTCTATGTACAAGGCTCTGTACTAGGCTGCAGAAAAATAGGAAACCAGGGGCGTTCGCCCCCTAGCAGTTGTGTTGCAGTGGACAAGATAAGCACCAAATGAGCAGAACTAGAACGGGGAGAGGGATTCCAACCCAGAAGGCAACACAAAGTGCTGCTGATATCAGGGGGGGAGAGCTCTGTCTGCCGAGGCATCAGACCCCACTTCATGAAAGCGCTGGCATTTCCGATGGGCCCGGAAGGGCAGAATGAGAATGAGTGCCCCGGGCCGACGTGGTAGGGCTGAAAAGTGGAAAATGGATTTAATAAAAAGCACATGCTCCTGTATGATCGGGGAATAGGAAGGAAGAAGAGAAAGTGTCAGTAAGCTAGCAGTGGGAAAGTAGAATCAAAACGCAGATGAGGTGATATATGGAGAGCCTCAGTGTCCAGCTGAGAGGTCGGAAATCAGTTCTGTGGTTTTAAGGGAGCCGTTGAAGGTTTTCAGCAAGAGCTTGGCATGATGAGATTATGACTGGGAGAGATTATATGGCTGTAGGTGGTGTGTATGGATTGATGTGGGGTGCACAAGTGGGGGATAATCCATAATAGTTTCTGCAAGAAACAATGAGCCCAGTCCCGGGCCTGGCACAAAGAACTCCCCTTTCTTATTACAAAATCATAAGCACACAATTCCGTAACATAACAATGTCACACTCAAGCACACCATCTGACATTTTAAGTGAAATGTTCGCATTAAAACTATAAATTGTTACACCCATCTTGTTACCCTACCAGCTACACTCAAGCAGGCGTTACTTCTGCTAGGATCTGTAGTAAAGATTTGGGCTGGGTTGTAATAGAAGCAATGATGTTTGACAGCTCATTATAGATATGAACAAAAACCAGGAGAATCAGGATATAATGGTATTACCGAGATGATGACCCCCTGGCCAGGCGACTGGTGGTAGTCAGAATAAATAGTAACCTCAGTGCGGTGGTAAAATCACTGGGAAGACTGTGTCTGTTGAAAATACATGGTGTTTCCTCCTTCCGTCATTCCTTCGTTATTCATTATTCACTCTTGCTTGCCCTTAAAAAGATCACAGTGTACTCCACAAAAGAGAGGTAAGCCATCGATCACACGACAGCGTTACAGAGGCACTAGCAGACCACCTGGACTGCTGGGGTCCTAGGCTCTGTGCCATGGAGGACACAGAGGCATATCAGACACAAACCCCACCCTAGGCAGCTCACTCTGGTAGCAATTAGAAGGCATGTGACCTAAGTGATCACAATTCAAGGAACATTGTGGATGTAGCGATTGGTTTTGAGCAAACAAAGCTTTAGGAACTTAAAGAAGGTCTGCGCAGAGAAGCCTAGTAAAGGGCAGAAATGAGGGTGTGGAGCTCAGGAGCATTGCCTGGGCTGTGTTAGTGTTCAGTATCTGTTTGCTTGAACTGAGGGAGGACTGAATGAATGAGAGTAGTTGGACCTCTCGGTCCATCTAGTAGTTTGCATCTGGTAGTTTGCTCAGTAGTAGTTTCGTTGACATTCAGTATTATACTAGTAACATGGTGATTCTACATTTCTATACCTTACAAAGTGACCTCCACAATAAGCCTAGTATCCCTCTATCACCGTACATAGTGATTACAATGTTTTTGGCTATATTCCTTATCCCCATGACTTATTTTATAACTGGAATTTTTAGATCCCCCGTCACTTAGACCCTCTGACTGCGGTGTGTGTGGATGGAGGAAATCCATGCTGGTTTTCTGAGGCTGATGATGAATCATTTAGATGTCAGTCATTTATATACTCTCAATACAGAGCTGTGCATTTATCCCAGCTCTCATGATTGCTGGACAGCCTATATTCCACTTTACTTCTCTGTAAAGGACTTTAATTCTTTTTCACAGAAGGCGGTATGAGTGGGAGATGATATATAGATATACAGCGATATGGGTCCTGGTTTCATTGTTTCCAGGTTTATAATTTTGGTCAAGTATATAAAGCTGCTGAACTTCAAGCTCTTCGTTTGGAACCTGAGAATAACAAAGATGACTGAAGTGTTAGGAAAACAACATAGGGTGTGTTTAGAATCTTAGCAAAGGGAAGCTTGCCTAAACAGGATGTGGAAAGCCGAAGCTATGGAGGGAGAAAAGTGGTTTATTTCATTAGATGGAAATGGAGTACTTCTACAGAACAATAAATCACACACACACACACACACACACACACACACACACGTAGTTATTAGATAGGTAACAGCCTGGGAGAAAATATTTATGACTTACTAAATGGCAAAGGATTAATATCTGGGATTTATAAAGAACATTTGTAAATAATTAAGAAAAAGATACTCCATTAGAAAAGTAGGTAAATGAAATGAACAGATAGTTCACAGTAGAGAATATAGAGGATATTGGGCAACAAGCATATGAAAAGATGCTCCATATCCTTAGTCCACTGGACGCTCT